TTTAAAAAAATTTTTTAATAAGACTTTAAAAAAAGATTTTATTTATTTATTAAAAGGGGGGGCATGAGCAGGGGGGAGGGGCAGTGGGAGAAGCAAATTCCCCACTGAGCAGGGAACGCAATACAAGGCTCCATCCCAGGACCCTGGGATCATGACCTGAGCCAAAGGCAGACGCTTAACCAACGGAGCCACCCAGGTGCCCTTTGTTGTTATTTTTAAATTATTATTGTTACTTCAGCATTTAAAAAAGAGAAGGAAAAAAAGAGCAGTATGAGTTTTTAGAGATGTAGGCATCTCTGGTGATAGTCACTCAGCCTCAGGAAAGTGAGGTCAAAGCAAAGACCTTCCCTGCCTTTGGTGCTTACTCACTCACTCACTCCCCCAGGAGAGGAGCTGATGCAGAGGGAAGGTAAAGGGAGCGATGGACAAGATAAGACTTCTGGGCTAGCCTGCCTGGGTTTTAGCTCCCTCATGGTGTAACCTTGGGACTCTGTTTTCTCACCTGTGACATGAGGATGATAATAACTGTTCTAACTCCATGGGATTATTGTAAGGATATCATGAGGGACAGAATGCATATAGGGGAGTTAGAACAATATCCACCACATCATAAACTCTAAAAAAATGTAAATTACTGATAATTTCTAGAGGGGCAGAACAGAAAGAGGCCTTGAAGGTCATGTAGGCCTGGCCTGGAGATGAACAGGGTTTTTCCCTTTATCACACAGCAAGTCGGTATATGTGATAGTAATCCTGAGGCCAGGGACGGGTGGGTGGGAGCTCAGAGTTCTAGTGAGTGGCAGGGGTTGTACCAGGAGAACATCAGTGGGGAGCAGAGTGGCCAAGCATTGACTGTGGAGTCAGACTGGGTCTCCACATCTGCCCTCCTTTGGCCAGCTGTGTGTCCTTGGGCAGTCCCTTCACCTCCCTGAATTGGGTTTTCTGTAACTCTTAGTGTTACTCATGTCTACTTCACAAAGCCGTTTATGCATCTACTAAAATTTACTTCTTGGTCATTTACCAGGAATGGGCGAGGTGCTAGAAATCTCTGTGATGTATAAGACAGATAAGGCCCTGCTACAGAGGAGCTTACCTTGCAGTAGGTAGAGACGGCAACTAAGACAATTTGGAGAAGAGCTCTGAAGACAGTGGGGCAGGGAATGGGTAGAGCTGGACTGGAGAGGGTGGTATGACATTGGACAGTGTGACCAGGAAAGGCATCTCTGAGCAGGTGACATTTGAGTGGTAACCTAAGAGAAATGAAGCCTCTATGGGAAGCCCTAGGCAAGGCAGCCTCCAGGTAGAGGGAACAGCTGAGTGCAAAGGCCCTGAGGTGGAAGTGTGTTGGTGTGTCAGAAAGGAGCAGCAAAGAGGCTTGTTGGCTGGAGGGCTGTGAGTGAGGGTGGGATGTAGTGTGTGCCCCCATATGAGTCCCCATGAAGAGGCTAGGTTTTAAGTGAGTTGGAGATCCCTAGGAGGATTTTAGCAGGGAAGAGATAAAATTAATTTTATATTTTAAAAGGATCTCTCTGGCAGAGGGAGGAGGCTGCTGAGTTGTGCAGTCTGGAGCGGATGCCTGGAGAGGAGGTCTGATGAGGAGTGGAGCCAGATAACGACCATACTCCTCCCACCTGGCCTGGTACAGGCCTCTAGGATGGAATTGAGCCCAGAGGAGGTTTCTAAGCTCCTGAGAGCTGCGTGTTGGGGGCTTGGGTCATGAGAAGGGGCAGCGTGATGCTGTGGACGAGGTAGGCTGTGGAGCAAACCTGGCCTGGATGGGTGGGGTCTCTCTTCATCTCTCGCCCTCTCTTTCTTTCTCTCTCTTTCTGAGAACTGCTGCTGCTATTACTCCCCGCAGACTTTACATAATTCTGGCCCAGCTCCCTTCTCATTATGTCATGCGCCCGAGTGGAGTCTAGGTCACGGCAAGGCCTGCTGTGGTCGGGGAGAACAGACTTCTGGCTCCCCGGCATGGCATCTGGAGCAGACCTTCCCCATGCTGGGGTGAGGGCAGCTAGGTTTGTGGGGGTGGAGGTGCAGCCCAGCCCCAGCCCCAGCCCCAGCCCCAGCCCCAGCCCCTTTAGACAGCTCAGGCAAAGGGCTTCCTGTGATGGGCTGTGGCTGATGAGTGTTAGGGGAGGGTGGGGGGTGGGGGCAGGGAACTACATCTCCCTGGAGTTGGAGGCCCTCCCCTGGTGCCCAGGCCCCAGCAGAAAGTAGGCAGACCTGATGTCAGCCACTGCTGCTGGGTTACTTCTCTGAGCCTCAGTCTCCTAAACTGTAAAATGGGGACAAAGCCACCCACACTCAAGGTGATGTATATATTTCATGGGCTCATGTGGGAGCCACAATGATAGAACTGTTCTGAGGACAGAGGTCCAGGTACATACTGGGAGAGGCAGACAGAGCAGTCTTCTCTCAGACTCACCTGGGGTCACCTGGGCCATAGTCCTGGAGCCTGACCCCCTTTCTATAGTCTCTATCCCTACCTGTCTCCTAGGCTCTGCCCCAGTCCCAGAGAATCAAAATAGGGTTGGGCCCCTCCCCCCCTGCACAGGTAAGGAGATTGAGACTCAGAGATGGGTGTGACTTGCTCAAAGGTCATGCAGCCCAGTGTGGCGATGCCAGAAATGGAATCAGACCCCATAAGTCCCAGCCCAAGGCATTTTCTGATGCACTTCACAGTGTGGGATGCCTGTGACCCTGGAGGATGCTGAAGAAGTTCAGGTCAGAGGCCACTTTGGCTCTACTTCTACCCTTTTCCACACATAGGATTTTTCCTCCTCCCCTCTATGCTGTGTGTGTGTGTGTGTGTGTGTTTGTTTTTAGGGGAAAACAGTTTTGTTTTGCAATTATTACGAAACTTACATAATAGTTACTTCTCTTACCTGGCCTCTGAGAACAGGTGCTAGGCCCTTTCTGCCTCCCTTTTGTGGAATCCTCACAATAACTTTTGAAGAGTAAGGATGATTATACCCATTTTATGGGTGAGGAAACTGAGACCCAAGGTCACACAGTTGGCAGGTGGGATCAGGGATTCATACCTAAGGTCTGCATATTCCAAATCTCTTGTCTTTCCCTTACGTGTGTTTTCTTCTTCGGATTCTCCTGGGATTGCGAGACCCTCCTGAACCCCGCAATCTCCATCCTGTGTGGGGCCTGAGCTTTGCCAGCAGATGCAGAAAGCAAGCCCCAGGCTGCTCTGATGTTTGGCCCTGGGTTCCCAGGGAAAGTTATAGGGAGTTTGAATTAAAGGGGAGCAAGGAGGATGGGGGTCTCATAACCCCCTATCTCCGTGTTGCTTATATTTTCCTTTCGGTGTTTACTAGGGATGGGGGAAGGTGGAGAGAAGAATGTGCCTCCCCCTCCCTCCCTGTTTCTAGAATTACTGAATTCTTGTTGGATCTTTAAATTTTATGTAAATTCTTCTTATTTTCCTTGGAAAGGTGGGGTATCATATTTTAATTAGTAGTGGTGTCAAAGGAGGGCTAGATTAATTATTGGAAATCCTGAGTTCCAGATGGTTTTAATTTTCACAGCAGGGCACCAGGGTATATATTTTTAAATTTTTTTATTAAAATCATACCTAGTGTGTTTTAGGGGCACTGAGGTACACTCTTTGTGGCTCCAAAGATGCTGTATTTAGGGCTATGATTTTTGTTATGGAGAAGGAAGTCCCTTGTCACTGAAATTAAAAGTTTGTGGCTGAGGGAGGGGCAGGTGCTGGAAAGCAAAGAGTCAGAGATGGGAGGGTGAGAATGGTCAGGGGGTCATAGGCAAAGAAGGCAGCAGTAGGAGGAGGTGCTGGGGAGGGAACCAGGCATTGGAGTTCAAGACGAGCTCAGATACGGTGGGTGCATGGCCTACTGAAGTCACACAGCACCTTACTGGGGAGACAAAGTGGATTGGCAGAGGGACTGGGAGGGGTCTGGACACAGCACGCCTAAACAAGGGACAGTCACCCTTTGTTTGACGTCCTTTTTTTAAAAATTTATTTTTTTTAAAGATTTTATTTATTTATTCATGAGAGAGAGAGAGAGAGAGGCAGAGACACAGGCAGAGGGAGAAGCAGGCTCCATGCAGGGAGCCCGACGTGCGACTCGATCCCAGGTCTCCAGGATCATGCCCTGGGCCGAAGGCAGCGCTAAACCGCTGAGCCACGTGGGCTGACCTGTTTGACGTCCTTGCTCAGTCAGGGCTTTGGGGGATCAGCTCTGGACACCCTCTCCTAAGGGAGGCTCTATGGAGAATGGTTTAATATGGAGTCTCCTACTTTGAACCAGGGCATATTGAGTCCTGCTTGGGACTTCCAGGCTCCTGGAAGTTAGCTACATTTCAGCCTTGGTGGCCTTGATTGAGGAAAGCAGAATATTATGGAGATAGCCTCCATTCCCAGGGGCCAAAAAACCTCCTCTTGAGAGGCCTTCCCCACACCAGGTGGCAAAAGTGTGGAGTGGAGAGGGGACACTAGCAGGGGTTCTAGATGTTTGCCCTAGAGGAAGGGGCCTTTGACCGAAATTTTGGAGGAAGTAGTTTGATTTCCCCCAAGGCGGGGTAGGGTATGAGCATGCCCATGCAAACTTGCATACATTTTTCTGTGCTCTCATTCCAGAGACTGTTACTTCTCTGGGGTTATACGTGTGGCTGTGTGAATAGCCTGTTCTGGGGAACAGAGGTGAGGGGCCGGTCTGGGTGGGTGATTTGGGGAGGACACACTGCTATTTAGCCACAAGGGGCAGAACAACCATCCAGCTGGAGCCATCTAGGTCCCAAGTGGAGTCAAGAGAGCTGGGGGTGGAGAACAAATGACTGGAAGACTTCTCTGGCTGCATAAGGGGCAGGGTGCTCGGATGAGACCTGTTCAAAGCCTCCCCCGTGCCTGATGTTGGAGCAGTGAGGGGGTCGGAGGACAAGGTCAGGGATCATGTTGCTGAGCCTTTTGGCCAAACCATTGCCCCTGGTAAAAAAAATGTGTCTTGTTCTCTCTCTGCCTTTCGAAGCCCAGCTCCTAGTGGAAACAGACACCTTCGGTAGTCAAGTCCGGATCAAGGGCAAGGAGACGGAATTCTACCTATGTATGAACCGGAAAGGGAAGCTCGTGGGGAAGGTGAGTAATGGTCTGGAATTCCCAGGGTATTTGGGCAGGTTCCCCCTGGCAACTCTGGGGAGCTGGAACAGGGTGCTCAGGGCCTTGTCAGGCCCAGATGGAAAACAGGCCTGGGGAGAGGGAGAGAGAGAGGGAGAGAGAGAGAGAGAGAGAGAGAGAGAGAGAGATTGTTTCTAACTATAATCTCTTCCGTTCGCTCCTTCTCTGCCCCCACATCACAGCCTGCCCGTATGAGGTATGCATGACTGTGACTTTGTGGAGCATGCAGGGTCCCAATCTCTCCTGCTCCATGTGAACCCCGAGCGGCTCAGCGGCTCCCTGCCTGTGTGTGTCTGCTGTCTGAGAACAGGGAAGCCGCAGGCCACGGGCTGGGGCTTCAGCATTGTTTTTTAACATTTGCCAGGGATTTGCTGTGAAGTATAGTACCTCCTGGACGCAGCTGCCTCCTCAGCGCTGGGCCTCATAGTTTCAGCATTTCAGGAAGATTTTATGACTTTGGAATAGGCAGCAGAGCTGCGTGTAAGAAATTAGAGTGGGGTGTGGGTATGGGGGGGGTGGACCCACATGCCCGGGGCTCTGAGCTTCCACGGGTGCTGCCTGGTGTCCCCCTTTTTTCCTGGGTGTGCCTGTTTGTGAAGTTTGTACAGTTACTTCCTTTGGGTCTTCCAGTGGAAGGTGTTACTGTCAGGAGCTCCATGGAGTCATGCTTTATGTTCCCTGCCCTTTGTAGGGACCCTACTCATCCCCATATCCAACTTGTAATAATGCTCCTGTTGGACAGGTGGAGTTGGGTTGTGGGGGTAAGATCCTGATTCTAAGGAGGATGGCTCTTCCTGCTTGGGAGCAAGGCCCTGGCTGGTAATTTGTCCTTATTACACGTTGTTGGGAGGAGAAAGGATGGCCCCAACTCCTGTTCAAGCCCTGGGTTTCTTTTCCTGAATCCCTCAACTCTTATCCCTCTTCCCCTACTCCACACCCTAGTGCTGGGGAGAGTGTCACAGGCCGGGGACTTGGGGCAGAGTATTGTTGCTTATTACTTGTTAATAATAACCCCACCAGTAGCTTCTGTTAATTGAGCACCTACTTTCTGCCAGGCACTGTGCAAAAAGTACTCCCCAATAATCCCGCGAGGTCGCAACCACGACCACCCCCACGTCGCCGATGAGAAAGCTGAGGCTTGGCGCCGCCCCAGGCACTTGTCCCAGGGCCCACCCTAGAGCTGCGGGGACTCCAGGCCCGTCTGGAAGGCGGAGGTTGCAGCCGCACTGCCCTCGCCCGCGGGCTTCTCAGAGCGCAGGAAGAGTAACCCGCCGAGCGAGAGCGAGCGGCCCGGACGCCACGAGTGGTTTTAATTAGTGATTCACCTCCCGCGGCCCGGGCGGCCGGCGGGGCAGGGGCAGGGGCAGGGGCAGGGGCGGGGGCAGGGGCAGGGGCAGGGGCGGGCGCGGGCGCGGGTGCCGGCGCGGGCGCGGGTGCGGGTCCCCGGGCCCGGCCGTGCGTTTCCTGTGGCGCTTTGCCGTCCCGCCCGCGCGGGGCCTCCCAGGCCCGACCTGCCCGCGGCGGAGCCCCTCGGCCGAGCCCGGTGCCCCCCCCCCCACGCCCCCGCCCCGGTCTGCGCGCTTCCCGGCAGCGTGAGCCCCGGAGGGCGCGCTCGGGTCAGAGGAGCAGCCCCGCCGCCCGCCGCCCGCCGCCCGCCGCCCGCCCGCCGCTGAGTCACCGCTTCCACAGGAGCCGGCTCCGATTTCCTGCCCCTCGCCCTCTCTCCCGTCATTAGTATTGGGGGCGGTTCAGCTGGCTCGGCGCAGCCCAGGGAGGGCCCCCTCCTTCCCGCCCGCCTCGCGGCAGCTCCCCCATCCCCGTGCAGGCTCCGGGCTTCTGGGCTGGTCCGGGCCCTCCAAGGATGCCCCCCAAATCCACCTGCCCCGGGATGGTTCTGAGCGGGCCCCCTGTTGGCCTCTGCCTAGCCCAGCTCTCCTGTCTGCTGCAGCTAGAAGCCACGGGCTCTTGAGGTGCCGGTCCATCACAGCCTCCTAGGCAGTCAGGCTCCAAGGTCCTGGGCTTACCCTTGTGTTTTCTTCGTCGTTGCCACTGCCTCTGTTCTGGCTTCATACGTTACAGGAACTGTTGCCTCAGCGCATCCCCAGCCTTCCACCCCCAACCCATCTCAGAACCCATCGCTGGGACCACACCATCTACCATCTGGCTTAACCCACAGCCAGAATTATTCATGTCAGGACAGGGCATCAAGTGCCCTAACTGCTGAGCCTCGATGTCCTCATCTGTCAAATGGCAATGATAATGCTGGCATTTGGTGGGCACCTGAAAAATGTTCATTCACTTCCCCTTTGAAGCCAGGCCACAAAGTTACTCCTTCACCTGTGGGAACCCTTGACTTCATCTTAGGCTCTGACTCCCTTGGAGTGGTCTAACAGGATGGCTTTTTTGGGTGGTCTTGACCCCGGGTGCCAACCTTGCACATCTTTGACTACAGCGGGGCACCTGCATTGAGCCCCCAACAGAGGCATTTCAGATGTTCTGGGCCCCTGGCTGTGGCTACAATTCTGCTGGACCGTAATGATCATATACGAAAGCTCTGCCCCAATCCCCTGCATATTCAGGTAGCTTCCCTGCTTTTTACCACCTTTCTGGACCCCACATCCATTTGACCCAGGAGGGAGTACATCCTTCCATTCTATAAACAGCTGCTGAGTATGGAGCGCTATGTGCTAGGCATTTTCCCCTGTCTCTGAATATTCAACCCAGTTTGATTACTTTCTCATCTGCCCCTGCCTGTGCCATCACTGGAGTCCTCTTTGGGGCAGCACAGGGCCCCAGACCTTTCAGGGTAGAGGGGTCCTCTGCCCACCATCACATCTTTGTGAAGACTGTTTTGGTTGTAAATGACTGAAGCCCAACTCAAAATGCCTTAAGCAGAAAAGGAATTTTTTGGCTCATGTAACTAAAAACGTCCAGGGGGTAGTTCCAGTTTCAAGTAAGACGGGATCTAGGGGCCAAATGATGTCGTCAGGATTCAGTCTTCAGATCAAATAGAAAGAAAAGTACTCCAATTTGGAAAGGAGGAGGTTGGATGTGTGTGTGTGTGGGGGGAGTGGAGGGGGGGATGCTCAAATTCTATTTAATCACCAAGGTTCTGCAATGGGATATTCACTCACTCTGTAAATACTGATGGTCTGCCTTGCTTGAACCAACTGCGTCAGCATTTCTAGGGATGAGGCCCAAGCACAGGTGTTCTTTTTAAATCTTGGCAAGCAATAGCAGAGTCATAGAGGTAGTCAGGAGCAGAGGTGATGGGCAAGCCCAGCTGCGGCCTGCCATTAGCTTTGGATCTGCTGTATCTGAGCTCACAGGAGGGCCCTGTGACTGTCACTGGGGGAGCTTAGGACCATCATGGGTACCATGGCTCTTCCCAAGGGGCTCCTGGGTGCTGGGAATTTCAACTCTCATAAGTAAACCCAGACATGTGGAAGCACATGTGCCAGGCACTGTGCACACTCCTTGCACATCCAAGACCTTGCTTCATGCTGATGGTGGCTATATGGGGCTTGGGGAGTTGAGACGTTTTGATAGGCAGTGCCCACTTTTCCACACCCTCTCTTCTCATGGACCTCTATGGAACTGGACAGAGAATAAATGAGCTGCAGTGACAAATGCATGTTGAAACCTGGCTCTGTCTCTTACAAGCCCCGTGACCTTGGGCAAACCCTTTTGCCCTCTTTGAACTCTGTTTTCTTCTAGCAGGGAGGGTCTACCTGAGAAGTTCAGAGGATGAAATGAAATAATGTATGTGGAAATGTCTGACCTATAACTGACGAACAATAAATGCCAAATGAATGAGTGAGTGGATTAGTAGGGAGACCAAGTGCACCAGGCCGGGAGCTCCGGTCCTCTGCTTGCTGTACCCCTTTCTCAGCACATCCCTCAGGAGGGCCTCCCACAGCTCATGACTCTCTCTGGGACACTAGCGAGGGATCTGGGAGGCAGTGTCTATTTTCTTTTAGAGGAAAGCCCTTTGAAGGTCACGGCCACCATTTCTATGCCAGAACTTTCATTCATTCAACCACAAATGCTCTGGGTACCCGAGACCTATGCTGAGCCATGGGGGCAACTGACAAATAGTCCTGACCTCCTGAAGCTCTTGGGCTAGTGAGGAGGCAGGTAGGTATGGAATTGCTCTGTTGGAGGGTGGGAGGAGGAAGGGATGCCAAGGGGCAAAGATGGAGTATGTGAGCCCAGTAAGACCTGGAGGTTTGAATGGAGGCTTAAGTGAAGAAGAGGAAATGCCCAGGGCGATAGATGGCAGTGAAGGAAAACTTCCTGGAGGAGGTGGTTACTGAGCTCGACCTTAAAGGATGAAAGAAGTTTCCCAGGTAGTGGCAGGCATTCTATAGTGGGGAAAAGCATGGCATGGGATTTGTTCAGTTTGCCGTGACTGTCCCATTGAGAGCATCTGGATTTAGGTTGGATAGGCAGCTTCCAGACTTATCCATGGGGGAGCCTAGAGACCACTCCCCTCTACCTGCCTTGTACATATGCTCCATTTCCCTCACAAGAGTCTCTCACTGCTCAACCCCACCCCCAGACACTGTCCTCTGGGTCCCACATGTCTCCCAACCCCACCCCCTGCCTGCTGTGCAACCTCCTCGAAAGATCTCAGCCCCCAGAGAATGTTTTCTTACCCTGCCCGTCCCTTTCTGCAAAGTTCAGCACTTTGTCTGCAGGGCGCAAGCTTGCCCTCCGCTCAAAGGTGAACGTTCCTGGAAGCCCCAGCCTGTTTTCCACTTCAAACAAAAGGCTGGAACTCACACCTCAGTCACCACGCACAGCCAGACCGCTGGGCTTCCAAGTTGGCTGGGCATCCGTCCGTAAAGAGGAGTGGGCCCAGCCTAAATTTGGAGATGTTAGTTGGAAACTCGAGTGCTGCTAATTCAGGCCTTCCAGCTTTGTGTGCTTCCCACTCTTCTACACAGAGTGATTCGGCTGTCTCAGGGAGGAGTTGCAGAGCCCTGCCTCCCACCGTCCTTTGTCCAGATCCAATCCAGGGAGAGAGGCCAGAACCATCTGAACGACCTGCTCTTCAGAAATAATTTAGCAAGTTCCTACTGTGTACGAGGGTCATTTATAAGTATCATTCCTCACAACATGTCTGTGACGCAGGGGTCACTGTCCCGGTTTGGTGAAACGAGGAATCTGACGTCTAGAGAGTGGAATTAACTAGCCTGAGGTCACATAAGGAAGTGTTAGAGTTGATTCATCTTCTGACTCGAAATCTAGTACTCCTTGCCCGGCATCCCTTGTCTCCTAGGGAGTTCACACATCTGCTGGGGAGCCTGAAATCTCAGAACCAAAGGCATAGATAGGCTTTGGAGTTTGGCCATGCAAAAACTCTTATTCTTGGAGGTCCCTACCCCTCTTCACACCAAACATTTAAAATGTACCATATCCCACATTAATGTAATTTAAATTTAACTATATTGCAGTGGAGTTGAGTGGCAGTAGAGTAGCTGACAGGTTTTGTACACATCTGCAGGGACTCCTTTCTATTGCAGGTGATAGAACATAATCTCAACTACTTTAAAGGAAATGAGATATTATTGGCTCACATCACAGTGAGGTAAAGAGCTTCAGATACTGCTTGGTCCAGAGCCCAAAGGATGTGACCAGAACTTGGTTTCTCTCATTCACTTCCTCTTGGCTTTCCTTCCTCTGTGTTGGCCTTGTCAGACAGAGTTTCTCCTCATGGTAGTAAGATAGCTGCCTATGCTTCAGCCTTAGGGGTTCCTCAAGTTTAAAGCAGCCTATGTTTTGGGGGGATTATATGAGGGTCTTGAGGAGCACTCTGATTGGATGGCTCAGGCCATCCACATACCCAGCTCTGCACCAGTCCTGGGAAATAATGTTTCATTGGCCAGGTCTGGGTCTCTTGTTCTAGTAGAGTTGGGGTGGAAGCCCCTGGCTGTAGGGTAGTGAGTGGGGAAGGGATGGATTCCTGAATGACAATGGGAATCTATTACCTAATTAGTGGGTAGGGAAGGAGGCAGGGGCCAATATGATAAGTCCACTCCATAGATCCAGGAAGTGAAATTAGTGGCAACAAAACTTGAGTCAGGCCTTCTACTGCCCCCACTGTACTGTCCCAAGCCTCCATCACCTGTCCACACCCTGTCCACGTAGCTCTGCCCCTCATAGCCCACCCTCTCCTTCTCACCTCCTCCTTCTCTTGCTTTCTACAGCCTGATGGCACCAGCAAGGAGTGTGTATTCATTGAGAAAGTCCTGGAGAACAACTATACAGCCCTGATGTCCGCCAAGTACTCTGGCTGGTACGTGGGCTTCACCAAGAAGGGGCGGCCCCGGAAGGGTCCCAAGACCCGGGAGAACCAGCAGGACGTGCACTTCATGAAGCGCTACCCCAAGGGACAGGCAGAGCTGCAGAAGCCCTTCAAGTACACCACGGTGACCAAGAGGTCCCGGCGGATCCGCCCCACGCACCCCGGCTAGGCTGGCCTCACCGCAGCTCCCCAAGGCTGCCCCCAGGCCCACACTCACACTCACAGAGAACTGCATCAGAGGAATATTTTTACATGAAAAAATTAGGAAGAAGCTCTATTTTTGTACATTGTGTTTAAAAGAAGACAAAAACTGAACCAAAACTCTTGGGGGGAGGGGGGGTGATAAGGATTTTATTGTTGACTTGAAACCCCCTGTCTATGACAAAAGACTCACGAAAAGGGACTATTGTCAACGTACAGGTGCTTGTCTCTCTCTAGGAACAGACAACTTTAAACTTGTGCCCAGAGGAGATTTTGAATGAGGAATACAACACTTTAAGAAACCAAAGTCCTTTTTCCCAAAGGTTCTGAAAGCAAAAAAAGAAAAAAGAAAAAAAAAAAGAAAAAAAAAAGAAAGCAAAAAAAAGAAAAAAAGGGAAAAAAGAAAAAAGAGAAAGTAGTACCCACCCCCAGACTCTCCCCTCTTTCCCAATCCCCTGTCCCTGCCCCAAACTCCAACAAAAATCGCTCTCTGGTTTGCAGTCATTTATTTATTGTCCGCTGCAAGCTGTCCCGAGACACCGCGCAGGGAAGGTGTGCCCCTCGGAATTCTCTGGCGCCTCGACTTCCGACGACAGACGGCCTCGTCCAATCAAGTGACCCTGCATTGCTCGCAGTTCTGGAGGATGCTGCTATCGACCTTCCGTGACTCACGTGACCTAGTACACCAATGATAAGGGAATATTTTAAAACCAGCTATATTATATATATTATATATATATAAGCTATTTATTTCACCTCTCTGTATATTGCAGTTTCATGAACCAAGTATTACTGCCTCAACAATTAAAAACAATCGACAAATTATTTAAAAAAAACATGAGGTGAGTGGTGGCGGGGGGTAGGGCTCAGGTAGGGCAGGGGGGCCCCTTTGTGTTTCCTTCTTCTGGGCCTGCGTGCTTGGTGTGCTGAGAACTGGGGCCTCGCTCATTAGTTTGCTCCTTCATTCATTCGTTCACTGATTGACTCACTGTACCGCACTGTGCCCCACCCACTGCTCTAGGCCGTGGGAATGCAGCCTGAGACCTCTGCTTCTGGAAATCCTTGCCCTCACAGAGATTACGTTCTCACGAGTCGTTGATTGGATGACTGATTCAGGCATACGTTCGCGTACATTTGCTCCGCATCCATGTTCTACCGTGCACTGGGCATTTATCCAAAAACATACCAAAAGCGTGCCGGCCTCCAGGGAACTTCACTGATTCACTGATTCATTGCTTCATTCATTAACTTATTGATGGAACCACTCATTCAACAGATATTTAGTAAGCACTTACTAAGTGCCAGGCACTGTTATAGGTCCTGGGGATTCATCAAAGATCAAAACAGCCCAAGAAGCATGTGCCTCCTGGAGCTTACAGTCTAGGGATTGTTGCTTGAGTCATTTATGGAGACTGCATCCAGATTTCTGCCAAGCACAGGCTGAGCAAGGAGCAGTGGTCCTCCTCCTGTGTCTGGTGGTGGAGGGGTCAGAGGGCCCTGGGTAGGGTGGAGACCTGGTGTTTCTCTCCTTAGATTCCCATGGGCAGGGTGCAAGGAGTCTGTCTGTCTCTTTAATTTCCAGGGGCCCTTTCTTCTAGGTCTTCCCAGGGCCTGGTTGGGATGTAGGGAAGAGGCTGGCTTGTCTTGGGGTGGGAAGCAGATTGGGCAGGAGGCTGACTGAGGAGGAAGATGCCTCCTGTGGGGTCCTGCTGCTGTCACCTGCCTCCCTTGAAACACCTCCTGCCACGACAGGCCAGGAGAAGTCCCCAGTGAGGCCCTACAGAGAGGAAGGAGAGAGGAGGGTGTGGAATACCTTCTCTGCACAGGGCTTGGGGCTGGATCGGGTCTTGGCTTCTGACCTGTGTGTTCCCTCTGCAACCCACCTCAGAGCTCAGGCCATGCACAACTCTTGGTTCTGTCCTTTCTCCCAGCATTATGTGGATCTCTCTCCATCACTGAAGCCTGTCCCGTGTCACAGTGTGTTTGCTTGGGTCTTTGTGAAGCCCTTTCAGATGCATGATCTCACTGTGATCTCAGAACAACCTGTGAGGAAAATATTATCATTATCCCCATTTTATCGATGGAGGAGACTGAGGCTCAGAAACATTTAGCAGCTTCTCCAAGATCACAGATTAAGAAAGCTGGGGTTGGTGTCCAAATTCTACATTCTCCAGAGTTGTAGTAGCTGCTACTTGGTGAGGGCCTACTGTGTTTCAGATGGCCTGCTAGGGACCTTATGTGCCCTGCATGGGCATCCATCACGTCCTGATGTGGGACATGGGTACTCTTGACTGAAGCTCAGAGAGACCATCAACATGTCCAAGGCTTCAGGGAGTGGGTGACTGAGTCTGAGATCCCTGGGGATAGTAGTTGTGATAGTGGTTGTCATTTACTAAGCACCTACTGTGTGTCAGTTCCTTTCACACTCTGTCATTTAATTTAAACAATAACCCTATGAGATGGGTGTGCACTATTTTTTGCACTGAAAGTTTCAGAGAATTGAAATGACCTGCCCAAGGCAATTCAAGCTAGAGAATTGTGGAGTCAGAATTCAATCAGTCATTTATTTATTCATCCAATCAATAGGTGTTTAGTCTGTGCCAGATGCTGTTCCAGGGGCTAGAGATACAGCAGTGAACTGAGCAGAGCCCCTGCCCTCAGGGAGCTTACATTCCACTGGAGAAAATCAGAAATAAACCAAATAGGTATAAAATATGTCAGATAGTGGTAAATCCTAAAATAGAGTGAGGGGATGGAAAGGAATGGAGAGGCTGTTTTAGCTAGAGTGCTCATGGAAGTGGGGGGAGCAGGGTAGTGCACAGGCAGACATGGAGGGGAAGAGCATTTTGGCCAGAGGGAACAGAGAGTACTAAGGCCTGGAGGCCCATCATGGAATAAAGAAGGGCCAGGGGTGGAGCATGGTAAATGTGGGGCAGGCAGAGTTTTGGAGGGGGCCAGACCACCCCCAGGGCTTTCATTCAGAGTGAGATGGGGAGCCACGTGCGATATGCCTTACACTGTCAGGGGACTGCTCTGGCTACTGTGTGGAGCAGGACGGTAGTTTCCAGCCTGGGACTGCCCGCTGCTGCTGGCTCTGTCCACCGCCTCCCAGGCCGCGGGCTCCCCGCACACCCAGCACCCTGCCTTTGCTCCATCTCCATAGAGCAATGGGGCCGGTGATTATTTTCTTTTCCTGCTCCTCTAGAGACTCCCTGTCTTTGGAAGATGCAACCCGCTTCTGCTTACTCTAGACAGGCTTCCTGGATAGTTCCTGGGCAATGCAAACTATGTTAATGATAGGCACAGTGGACTGGCGGGAAGATTTCCCAGCCACGGATGATGTCTTAGGATGCTCGCTTGATGGAGCTAAGAGAGTGTTTTCACAGTCAGGCTGAGTAGGGAAACCTTTCAGAGCACCTATTATGTACCTAGCACACTCTTATTGAATCTACCCCACAGTCTTTGGGGTGGGCATTTTTAGCCTTACTTTATGGAGCAGGCTCAGAGAAGTACAGTCACTTGCCTGAGGTCACACGGCTAGTTAATACAAGAGCTGGGATTTGAGCCCAGGTCTATTGATCTCTAGAGCTTGGAGCTCTTGGCACCTGTCCAGGGTTTCAGACTTTCCCCACTTCAGGCCCTCCCTATCCTGTCTTGGTGTCCATCATCTCCCAACCCACCAGAGGGAGGAGGCAGATATAGACCACATTCCCAGGCCCCTGATGACAGCTCTTCTCCTACCCCCTGGACCCTTTCCCGAAGTCAGTGTCACAGAGAGTCCAGGGATCTGGGACCCAAGGCACCTGAGTTTATTTTTAGCTTGGCAGCTTTGCCAGCTATGTGACCTTGAACGTCTCCCTCATCAGTCCAATTGTTTTTACCTTGCAGGGCCGATGTAATGTTCAAAAGAGAGAGCAGAGTAAATAATTGGGGATTATTCCTGCCCAGTAAGAGCTGGAAGGCACCCAGGCAGGTGTTTTGCCCTCAGTCTTCTCTCCATTTCTCTTTAACCTCATTGCTTTAGAGAAGAAGCAATCACAACCCAGACAGGAAGAGCGACTTGCTCCAGGGCACCCAGTGAGTTAATGACAGAGCTCATTAGATGACCAGTGAATAGTGATGATAGTGATTAATAAACATAGTGGAATATGGCAAAGGGAAATGAGTCAGAGTTCTTCTAGGGAGTTCAAGGCAGTTCAGTGGCTGGCCAGGTTCCTCTTAGCATCCTTCCCAAATTTGCTTCTCTGACCCAAGAAAGCAGAGAGCAGGGAGGAGAAGGCTGAGGTTTCTTGGTCCCAGCCCCTACCCCTCTGCTCTTCAGCCCCATAGTGGTACCATGTGACAAATGCCAGAAGTGAGTAAAGATGGAGCCTTACCCTAGAATTTCAAGGGGCCAGCGTGCAAGAATAGCAGGGCTGGCCTCCAAAAGGGAGAGAAATGGGTTTGAGGATGAGGGTACTCTCTCTACCTACCTGCCCCAACTTTGGGCATTGTTTGGATTCAGTCTCCTCCTCCCTCTATGGCCACCCATTCCCTGCCCACTGGCATAGGAGAGGGAAGTTCATTGGGCACCTACCCTAGACCGACCCTTATGATCATAGCTGTGCATATGCCCTATTCGGGATAGTTCCTGGTGCAGAGTCAGCTCTTGCTACCTTAGCTATTACTGTGATCTCATTTCACTGGTACCAGAACTTGGCAAGATACATGTTAGGAGGCCTGTTTTGCAGATGGGGAAACTAAGGCCCGTAGAAGACTGTGATTGGACCCAGGTCCCACAGTAGCAAGTGACAGAGATGAGATGTGAACCCGGGCTTCCCTGTTTCCACTTTCCACTACTTCCTCACTGTTCCTCTTCATCCCTTTGTGGGGGGTAGAGAGGGCAATAAAGCCCCAAAGCTTGAGGCAAGAGAAATAAAGTGCCCCTCCCTATTGGGAGGGAAGGACATGACACCCAGGAGAGGCAGTGTCTGGGGGTGTTCTCACCAAACCAGGTGAGCCTGGGCAAGGGGAGGCAGTAAAGGCCCAGGCTGAATGCAGGAAGTTTGGGAGGGGATGGAGATGCCCTCCTCAGTTGCCCACACAGCTGGAGCCTAAGAGACGGGGCTGGGATGACCGGGGCTTGAAACCTCATAAAGGGGCAGAGCCCTCCTTTCCCAGGCACAGGATTGGGGCTTCCAAAGAAACAATAGTGAATTAGGTGATAAGATGTGAAGGCTGCTCCCCAACCATGCAATTAGGTAGTGGATCCATTACAAACATTAGGCGAGCAGTTGGGACCAGATGTCAGTGAGGCTTACCCTCGGCTGTCCTGTCCCAGAACTGCCTGGCCTCCTGGCTGAGGTTGCCAGCTCTGGCAGGAGGGAAGGTGGCAGGTAGCCCCGTGGTGTGGCTTCCTGCAGAGAAAGCCAGTGATTAGCCAGACATTCCTCCCCTTCCTCTGGAAGCTTCTCAGACCTAATTAGCACTTGCTAGAGTTTCTGCCCACCTCCTCTGCTTGTGGATGGAGCTACTCCTTCAAGGTTCCAACCTCCCAGGTTGACCACTCAGAGGCTGCCAGGCCCTGGATTGCCCCCTGGGGGGATCAGAGGCACTGGCTGATTTTGAAAGTCCGTCACAGACTGAAGTCTCATTTGCCCACCTCACATAGGGCTCATGGTCATCTGTTAAGCACCAGCTCTGTGTGGGCATTTTACCCACTTCTTTAATTCCCACCATAATTGCCTGAGATAGCTATTTTTATCTGCTTCCTACCAAAGAAGAGACTGAAGCTCAGAGAAGGGAAGTCACCTGCTCAAGTTCATCTGACTCCCAGATCCTGCATAGGACTATTATTACACCACATAGCAGCATCCAGAGGAGTTAGCATCACCTTTGTTTTAAACAAGGTTAGAGGATCAGAGAAGGGACCTATTCAAAGTCGCATAGTTATTAACAAGGGAAGCCAGGATTTGAAACTAGGTCTGTTATATTCTAGTATCTTACCTCTCCATTCCTCCCAATGCTCTACTTCTCTCCCTATGTTATTTGGGATTCTTTCAGTTATAAGTGACAGAAACATATGAAAACTTACTTAAGCCGGTAAGAGAATGTACCGGCATCAGGCTTCAGGCAAAGCTGGATCCAAGTGCAATCTTCTACTCTCTGCTTTCTGCTGGGTTGGCTTCGTTCTCCAGAGGGCTTTCCCTGTAGCTCCAGGCTTATATCCTACTTGCTTAATAGCTTCAGAAGAAAGAGAACATACTTTTCCCAGAGGCTCCAGTAAAGGTCCCAGGACTGATTCTCATTGGATCAGTTCTCTCTCTTGCATATCCTTGAGCCAATCACTGTGATCAGGATAACAGAATAATTAAAGTAGCCAGATGTAGGTCATGGCCGGATCCTGGAGCTGGATTTGGTGAGACATGGGCCAATCCACCCAACCATAAGGTCTGCAAGTCAAAGAAGGGGTGGTTTCCCAAAAGAATGTGGAAATGTTCCTACCAGAAGAAAAGGGGCAAAAGCCAGAAAAGTCAATGCCAGTGCTTGTCCACATGGGTGTACATCAGAGTCCCCAGGAGGGCTAGTTCAGATACAGATAGCTGAGCATCACTCCTGTAAGTTCCGCAGCAATAGGCTTGCAAGAATTTGCAAGTTGCCAAGGGCTGCTGCTGCTGCTGGCCTAGGATTCTTTAAGAGCTACTAGCCTGGAAAAAAAAAAGAACAACTAGCCTGCCTTACCCTCATTCTCTCTATCCATCATTGAATGCTATGTGTTCCCATCCAGGACTTCAGACTGGGGACACTACACCCCAGGCTATGCAAGGGCTTTTCAAGAGATTCATGGGTACTATCATCTTGAGGAAATAAACTTTCCTGAGTGCTTTCCCCTAGATTGATCTGCTGGGGGATGCTCCTGTGGTTGGCAGGCTCCCCTTTACCCCAATCTTTCTACAAAGTCCCTCCTGCATTTTCCGGTAGGAGGTGCGCTTCTCACCCTGCGTGCAATCAACTGTGACCATTATCTGGAGTGTAGGAAACTCCAGATCATGCATTGAAGGGATGCTAGTGTAGGGAACTCCCTTTAACCACGGCACCATGAATCTGGGCAAAGTCTTCGTGCTTGTCCCTGTCTTAATATTTGCCTATTCTGTCACAGGGCAAATTGTGCATTTTGTTTTGGTCCATGTTGGGTTATTCTGAACACAGGTATATTGCACAGTGGGGTATACTGGCAATTTTTCTTTAGTTACTCTTCCTCTTTTATTCCCCAAATGTTCTAGAACTCATCCCCTACTAAGGAGTATCTTGTGAAAGGAAAAGAAATATTGGTAATGGAAGTATCTTATTCAGGAGACACAAAGTCATGGATAAGTTCTATTCCTTATCTGCCCATCCGTCTATCCACCTGCCTGTCTATCTATCCATCAACTCATCCATCTACCTATGCCTATTTACCTATCTATCTACCAAGCCATCTTAGAATGACAATATTCACAACCT